AAAAAGAAATTGCACAATGGCGAGATCACAACAAGAATTCATCTTAGGGAAGCTAAATGGAGCAGATAACTATCACGACTGGGCTTTTGCCATGGAAAATCTGTTGGAATCGAAGGGTCTTGCGAACTGTATCAAGGCAGCGAAGAATGATGCTACTGTGGCCGTAGAAACAGATGAAAACAAGCTGAGCGCCGCGAAAGCAACGATAGTGCTGTCCGTTGAAAAAGTTATGTATGTCCACATTCGAGCATGCAAGACCGCATTAGAAATGTGGACGAATTTGAAGCAATTGTTTGAAGATCGCGGATTTCTGCGAACCGTAAGCCTGCTGATTAAATTTGTGACGGTCCGATTGGAAAATTGTGATTCAATGCAATCGTATATTGAATCTATAACATCTTTGTACTACAAATTAAATTCTGTTGGTTGGGAAGTTGATGATCGTTGGCTCGCAGGCATATACTGTCTTGGCCTACCTGAACAGTTTATGCCACTGTTAATGGGTTTCGAAGGCCGACAATCAAACCCATCCTCAGATGAAGTTAAAGCAAAGCTGCTAGATTCATAAGGCAATTGACTGCCCAGTTAAGTCGAAAGAAAAGTCGACCCACTCAGCAAAACTAGCTTTTTCGGCGAACCTTGCCACGAAAAATCCAGTAAGGGAATGGTTTGTAGATAGCGGAGCATCCAGTCATATGACCCCCAACATTAACCTTTTAAGTAATTGCAAACCTTCTGCAATAGTTGAAATAATTACTGCTAACGATGGGAAAATGGCAGTAAAGTGCGTAGGTGATACGAAATTAAAGCTTAAATCAGATGAAGTAAAAGTAAACAATGTACTTCATATACCCGATTTATCTGCAAATTTATTATCTGTTTACCGAATGGTAGAAGCAGGCAACAAAGTCGTATTTGACATGAATGGGTGCACAATTTATGATAGACATAGATAGGGGTTCCGTATGCACATTGTAAGCCAAAAGATGAGGTATACAAATTCGTATCCGGATCATCGTTACTAGCCAAAAGTATAGAAAATTCAATAACAACCTGGCATCGTAGGTTAGGTCACATAAATTGTCAAAGCTTGATACAAATGAAAAATGGAATCGTATCGGGCATGCACTTTGACGACAAAACTAGTCTCGTAAATTGTGAAGTATGCGCTAAAGGAAAACAAACGAGAAAATCATTTAAGATGAGCAGCTCTGAAACGAAAAGCATGTTGGAAATTGTTCACTCAGATATGGTTGGGCCAATGGAAACGCCCTCCATCGGTGGAGCGAAATACTTTATCACCTTCATCGATGATTATAGTAGAAAAGTTTTCTTGTATTTTTTGAAGCAAAAATCAGAAGCTATAGATGCATTCGTAGATTTTAAAGCGTACGTTGAAAACCAAGCTGAACGGAAAATAAAAATACTACGCACAGATGGCGGAACTGAATACCGTTCCAAGCAATTTATTCGGCTTTTCAAGATGAATGGTATTCAGCATCAGGTGACGAATGCTTACACACCTCAACAGAATGGTGTCGCCGAGCGCATGAATCGCCCCATTGTTGAAAGAGCTAGGTGCATGATCATCGATGCAGAATTAGACAATTCATTCTGGGCTGAAGCGTGTGCAATGGCCGCTTACATTCTCAATCGATCGGTTTGCTCGGCATTAGTGAACAAGACGCCTGAAGAAGTTTGGTCAGGCGTAAAAGTAGACATTTCCAATATACGAATTTTTGGATCACCCGTTATGGTACATGTACCAAAGCAACGTCGCTCAAAATGGAATGCAAAGTCACAAAAATTGATATTTGTGGGTTTCGATAGCGATAAAAAAGGTTTTCGCTGCATTGACCCGAAAACTAAGAACCTGACTATTAGCCGTGATGTAATTTTTCATGAGCGCCTGCCAACTTCGAAAATAGAAGTATCCATAGATACTGCGGTTGTCGATTCAAATCAAGTGAGGAGATTGAGCACGAGTGAATGTGATGTAAACCAACAACCCGATAGTAAGTTGGATCGAGACATTATTTCAATTGGCTCAGATTCAGTGAGGGATAATAAGCTCAATATTTTAAATGACCTATATATTGCTGAGCCGTCCGACAACGATGGTGCACAACGTGGAGCGGCTATTACAAAGAGTAACGATAAGAATTGGAGTCCGGGCTACGAGCCAAAAGCTGAACCTTCAATTCAACCAACCAGAAAGTCGTCTCGTGAGCCGAAGAAGAAAGTCTTTGAAGGGTATGTTTCACATGTTGCCTATACAAACAAACTTCCTTCTGATCCACTAACAGTTAAAGAGGCATTAAACACTAAAGAGCACATTGACTGGAAACGAGCTATGGAGGAGGAAATTCAGTCGCACAAAGAAAACAATACGTGGACGTTAGTCGAGCTGCCTCGAGATCGCAAACCCATAAAAGGTAAATGGGTATTTAAAACCAAACGTGACGATCAGGGAAATGTTTTGCGTTACAAGGCCCGATTTGTGGCCAAGGGCTGTGCCCAAATATATGGTTTAGACTATATTGAAACTTTTTCACCTGTCGTTCGCTACGCGACCATTCGTTTGTTAATTGCACTAGCAATAAAAAGGGGTTAAAAGTCGACCAAATGGACGCAGTTACCGCCTTTCTTCAAGGCGATTTAGATGAAGAAATTTTCATTGAACAACCCGAAGGATTCAGCGACGGCACAAACAGAGAAGGAAAGTTAAATCGCGCAATCTACGGCTTAAAACAAGCAGGCAGGCAGTGGAATCATAAGTTGGTTGCAGCACTGAAGTCATTGGGACTGATCCAATCCAAGCTCGATCCTTGTGTTTTCTACAATAATCATCTAGAAGTAATTATCGCAATATATGTAGATGATATACTAATTTTTTGGCGCGATTCATTGGCACTTAACAAAATTAAGTCAGATCTAAGTACAATATTCAAAATGAAAGACATGGGACCCGTAACGCATTGTGTAGGAATTCGAATAAACCAAACGGCCGATTATATTGAATTGGACCAGTCTGCGTACATTAAAGAAGTACTTTAACGTTTTCAAATGGAAAATTGTAAACCTATATCCACTCCGAGTGATCCAAATGTCAAACTTTCGAAGGATTTTGGTTCGAACAAAAATTCCACAGAGAGCGAACTCAAGCGTATACCCTATCAAGAAGCAGTTGGATGCTTGCTATATTTGTCACAAGCCACACGACCAGATATTGCGTTCGCTGTAAACGACGTAAGTCGTTTTAATAGTACTTACAATTTAGCTCACTGGACAGCAGTAAAGCGAATTTTTCGATACCTAAAAGGGACTGCTGATTTGAAGTTACGTTATTCCAAAGAAAGCGGCTCAGATATATATGGTTTTTGCGATGCTGATTATGCCTCAGATGTTGACAAGAGAAGGTCGTGTACCGGATACATCTTTAAATTATCGAATGCCGCAGTGACTTGGCATAGCAAGCGTCAGCCAACTGTGGCTTTATCGACAACTGAAGCAGAATATTTGTCGATGTCAGCTGCAGTAAGAGAAGCGCTTTGGCTAAAACAATTTGTCAATGAACTCGATCGTAGTTCTACCAACACCATACCGATCAATTGTGACAATATGAGCTCAATCGAATTAGCTGAAGTGGAGGGATTCAGGAATCGCACCAAGCATATTGATGTTAGGCACCATCACATCAGAGACATGATTAATGAGGGTGTCGTATCAATTAAATACATTCCTTCTGAAGAAATGGCAGCGGACAACTTGACCAAAGCAGTCCCTAGGGACAAACACCAGTTTTGCGTCAAACAATGTGGATTATGCTGAAATTCCAAAATTGAAAAATATTTAGATTGTTAATACATTTTTTTTTTATTATTCATAATAAGCAACAAAATTTGTATCATTCTGAATTTTAAATAATTGTTAATTCACCAAGTGAGGGTGTTGAAATAAGAAATCACATAGAACAAAAATCCTTACATTACACAACACTGTACTATAGACATATGTATATGAAACCTAATTTTGACATCTTACTGCCATCCCTAAATTGGCGCGTCAAGCGCCAAGCAACTGTCAAAAATCCTCATGCCCATACAATTTGTATGAAGCATCCCACAATAACGCGGCGCTTACGCCGAGCAAATGGAATTTTCATTTTTGACAGGGCGTTACGTGTTGAAGTTGGATGCAGAAGACGGAAAGAAAGAGAAAGGACAAACAAGTGAAAGAGGAAACGAGAATAAAAACGAGAGGACCTGAGAAAACGTCAAAAATTACGACGCGTTGATATGGGGATAGCGCGCGCTGACACTCATTGACAATGGATAACGTAACGCTTAGCGCTCCAATTTAGGGAAAAAGAAATTGCACAATGGCGAGATCACAACAAGAATTCATCTTAG